CTAACTGAATTAGGCCTGCTCCTCTTGCGTGCGCAGGCGCTGCGGTGCTGCCCCGGCATGGCGTGCCGATACGTCGGCGATACTTGGCCCACCAAGCTGCGCTAACAGCACCTCTGGCATCGAGATCGATCCCTTCACGCACCCTCGATCATTTGCTGTGCCATCGCCTGCGGATCGAAAGACACAATGTCGCTCTGCCGCTATCGAGCTCCGGGCCGCCGCCGCCCATTCCGGCCGCGGCTTGTCCGCCATGGCTGCCGCCCGCTCGAGGGTCGTATAAATGAAAGCGCGCGGCAGCCGTGTGCCCCCGGACCGCTGGGTTGTAGTCCCTTGACGCCTCTCTTCTTCCTTCCCGGACAGTCGAGAGTTTACATCAGACCGACCTGAAGTACTAGGTATTCGACCTCGCATCTATCGGCGACCACTGAACAACCTGGAAACCCGCACCGACCGCACCGACTGCATACCGTCAACGCTCAAGTTCCACCGAGGGTCGTCCCGTCTCTCTTCCCCAAACCGACGCCTCCCCCGCCGCCGCTGCATCAGGGCGCCCGCTGGATGGTCTTTCTCCCCTTCGGTGCTGCTTGAACGCACTTTATGCAGCGTCTCGAATCTTAACCTTCTGCACGACAAGCTTCGGACCTCGCCCATTATTCTCGCTTGAAACAGCGAGTCGCCCGACCAAGAAGAGCCCTGCAGAGGCGCCGCGTTGACCAGCCTGCCTAATCACCCTGCCCCGACAGCAACTTATTTAAAGGCGACCTTCATCCCATTTCTCACCTTCATCTCTCTCCAAGTCGCCTTACTATTGTCAGGTAGTATTGCCTACTATTGCTAGGTAGTAGTCGACAAGAGCGGCCGGGGAGTACCACTGTTGCAATGGATCCACCTACTAAGAAGAAGGTATCACTCCTTTCAAGCCAGCCCTACTCGCGGTGGCTGGTCCAACTCGTCGACACGACATTCATGGCTGACCCGAGCTACAGTCGGAGAGGTCTCATGAGGAGAACCAGGAGCGCGCGTACATTGCCGCCTCGCGCCGCACTGACCGAAGCCTCGAGGCTCGGGTTCAGTCGGCGCACATGGCGAGCGACATCCACAAGAAGCGCACCGGCAGGAGTTTCCGCATCACTGAGGCGATTGTCATGAACGAGGAAATGTACGAGGAGGAGGAAGAGACACTACCTCGATCGTTTAGGCTGCTGGCGCCGCACTTGATGACCGAATCGCCCGACGTCAACAACCGGCTCCAGGCCTTCATGGACAACAAGTACCAGATGTCGAATCTGCTGGCCAAGACCAACGACGATTGGCGCCGGGAGAACGAGATCAACAGGATGTTTGCTGCGGCGTATCCTCACGCGACCCTGCAGGCGAACCAATTGTCCAACAGCATGCGCCGCTCCATGCTTCAGGGCCAGTCGATGCCTCAGGGCCAGACTCCGCAGACCTCTCAGGCCCCGTACGCCGCTTCTCCGTCGGAGACCCTCCAGGCTCCGCACGGCGCCGCTCCGTCGGCGTTCGAGAACCACGGTCAGTACGGCGCCTCCCCGGCGGCGCACGAGAACCAGGCTCTGCACGGCGCCTCTCCGTCGGTGCACGAGAACCACGGTCAGTACGGAGCCTCTCCGGCGGCGCACGAAAACTACGGTCAGTACGGAGCCTCTCCGGCGGCGCACGAAAACTACGGTCAGTACGGAGCCNTCTCCGGCGGCGCACGAAAACTACGGTCAGTACGGAGCCTCTCCGGCGGCGCACGAAAACTACGGTCAGTACGGAGCCTCTCCGGCGGCGCACGAGAACAACCCTCAGTACGGAGCTTCGCCGGCGGCGTACGAGAACCACGGTCAGTTCGGAGCTTCGCCGGCGGCGTACGAGAACCACGGTCAGTTCGGAGCTTCGCCGGCGGCGTACGAGAACCACAGTCAGTCTCCTTTCGGCGCGGCGACGCAGTACGGAGCGCCGTCACCTTTTGCCGCCCAGTCACTCCAGGGCTTCGCGGAGCCTTCGCCATCGGCAGGACCCATGGAGCGGCGCGCCATCCTTGGGGGCGTCTCATATGTCCCTCGATCAACAAAGAACCGCAACCGGTCCATCACGCTACCGGCCTCGCGACCCACCTCACGACCGGCCTCGCGACTCTCCAGACGCCCAGCCTCGCGATCCGTCTCGCGATCCAGCTCCCGATCCGCCTCACGGTCACGCAGACCTGCGGCTGTCTCGCGCGCGACTGCTCCGCCCGAGACTGCTCCGACCGTGGCTGGGTCGCCCGCGGCTGGTTCGCCCGCGGCTGCTCCGCCCGCAAACGCCCTTTGGGGCGCGCCATCCGACGCCGACTCTCAGCCAGACACTCCCATGAGGATGACCAACAGCATTGACAGCGCCATGGATCCCCAGCCTCAGACGCCCGTTGACTACGATCCCGACATGTCCATCTTCACCACTGACATGACAAACGACGTTAAGATGCTCCTGAACACCAACGTCAATCCGGCGGACATTGCGGGGAACCATTGCGGACAGCCAATGTACGCTCAGGAGTGGGCGACGGGCGTGCCGTTCGAAGACACCAACTCCTTGTACGCGCCTCTTAAGAGCGAGGCCGTCCAAGACCCGATCGCGCAGCCGCCTTACGACGACGCTGGCGCGGACTTTTTGTGGGACAACTTCATTCACGCGGGTGCCTGGTCCAACGACCAGTAAAGGCAGCGGCGGACTCGCTTGGTCGACCAGCCCGGCCTTCTCTTTTCTCTCTCATAATATTTCCTCTGTACTGTTTTAATGACTCAACACGTCGACTCACGAAGTATACGAAGCTTCATTCTCAGCTCCGGCACGGCTGCCTTTGAGCACAGCATGCGTGGTGGTACCCGAAGTACCTGGATAGGATTTTAGACCTGGGAGCGAAATGGGCAGCGACATTGCTTTTGACGACGACTTGGACGGGGGTGAGCACGGCGTTTGTGGTTTGGTCTGGCGGTCAATCACTGAGCGAACGACTTGAAAAACGAAGCGGATGAGGCGCATTCACGTGGGCAGGGTTTGATTTCTACGGCGCTCGCTGTGCATTGGGGGGCTACGCAGATTCACGCATGATATCCCGGGGAACAGAGCCTGCTCATCGAAGACAGCTCTCACCCATGTTTTTTTGGTCTACGGTGTTGGACGGGTAGATCGGTATACGACGCCATCCCTCTGGCGGCCGGGGGATACAGTGGTTGCATACACGCAGACGCTGTATACTAGGACGCAGAGGTCTTTTAGGAACCTATAATACCAAGCAAAATCATCGTGGCAGAGCATTCTCCGACTGTAAAGGTGACGAACAACGCAAGTCGTGCGCGCAACAAGATCCAGATGCTGGCCGAGATGAGCAAAGACGGCAATATCGCCAAGGCAGGACTGAATTTTGTCTTGTGCGTGTAGCAGTGTGGTGGCTTGACGCCCGAGGAAGGGAAAGGTGACGCTAATCGCACGTCTCAAACGTTCGAGCGGCGGCTTGCACGGAAACTCTCTAGCAAAATTCACACAAAACTCCGTATGATTCAGGTCGCCCCTGGCGAGGCCCTCTCTACTGCATCAAGAAAAGTAGTCCGTACACAAAACAAGCACCGCAAGCAGTCCCCCCACGCACAGAGCCCCCGTCTAGGTAGGGTCTGGTTATCCACATATATGTTAGCCCGGGTACTGTGCACAGAAGGTGCACGAGGCCACGTCGGGTGGCGATGCCATATCTCTGGCGTTGCCTGTTGCCTCTATGGGGAGGGAGGTAGGTAGGGTAGGTAGGGTGTTATAACATGCCCTTTTTCAAGACGCCCGGCCACGCGTCACGGCCGCCGCTGCTGGTCGCGCTGCTGTCTCCGGCGGCGCTGGCGGCTGAGCTGCTGCTGCTGCTGGTAGTAGTGATGGAACGGCTGGCCGCCGTAGGGGTGGCCGTCGTCCATCTCGACGTCTTGCTGCTGTTCGTGCTGCCACGGCTGTTGCTGTTGTTGCTGTTGCTGCTGGTACTGGTACTGGTACTGCTGCTGGTACGGATACTGGTACTGATGCTGGTTGTGGTGCTGTTGCTGTTGCTGTTGCGGCGGCGGCTGCGGTACAGCGAAGCCCGCGGGTGCCCCCGGATGGGACGTGTGGCTCGTCCCCGCGACAAACAGGTTCAGGTGGTCCGGAACGAGATTCGGGACCCGTCCCGGGGCATGACTTCCCGGGACGCCGGACGAGGGGACGGTGCCCACGGGGACATGGGGCGGGGGCTGCTGCTAGGAGCCGCCCGCACCCATGCCCGGTGGGTGCTGCAGTTGTCCGACCGGCGCCATCATAGTGGCGTCGTGGTTTGTTGCCGCTGTTGCCAGGGCGGCCGGCTGCAGTCCCGGCAGCGGTGCCATCCGTCCGGGCGTTGGCGTTGCAGGGGAGCCGGCGTCCTGCGCTGGGGCACCCTCCCCGCGAGCGTTGATATGCGACGCTCGAGGCGTCGTCTCAGGGTCGTCGCCTGTGGTATGCCGTATTTAGTACACCGGTAACAGGACAGGAGGTAAATTCCCCCGCGTAGCTGTCCACGGCCGGGTTGGTAGGGCAGTGACGGAAGGGAAGCAGGGGCGGGATATACCTGTCCGCCTGGCTCTTCCCCGAGCCGCCTGGTCGTCTGCCGCCGATCCGGGCAGCGCGTCCGTCAAGTCGTATCCAGAACGGGGCATCGTGCCTGTCGTTCTGGGGGTGCCGGGGTTAGTACATGGTCCGGCAGGTAGTATGTAGTATGTATGGCGAAGCACTGTACCCGTAGAGGGGCAGTGGGCGTAGAAGTGACGCGGCGCGTGTAGAGGGCCGCGGGGATAGGTATCCTTACGCTGGATGTGGTAATTGGAATGAAGTACTCTGAGGGTATGTATGTCGTCGAGCGGCCGAGACTGACGACCGAGCTTGTCTGTTTGTCGTGGACAGTGAGAGTGATGCTTTGCTCAAACGAATGTGAGTAGCCGATACGGAGACAGATACCGGGAGTCGAAGATGGTGAGTTGTGTGTCGAAGCCGGGGAGTCAGATATAAGGCGTGGCGACAGACCGACCGAGACGGAAACGATTACCGACAATGAGGGATCGTGAGTGAGGCTTTGGTTTGGTGGTGGGAGAATATCTGTATCCAACGACGAAGCAGCAGCAGTAGCTGAACAAACCCAATCCGGCAAAGCAGACGCCAAAATGCAAAAATGCAGAAAGTCTGACGAGAGACGCGGGATGATGCAGTCGATGGAGTCTTCTTGCGTTTTGTTTGAGGGGGGAGTCGATTGATGCAGAATTTGTCTGTTCGTGCCCAAAACCTCGTTGTCGAAGATGTCCAAACGCGTATCAAACCGTCGAGTTGTGCTCAGAAGAAGAAACAGCGCCGACGAAGCCACCGGAGGCGAGGCGATTCAGGCAAGGGGCCGGTGAAGGAAGATGGATAGCGGTACGCAGAGGTCGATGCCCTGACCAAAATGCTCGACGAACGCCTGAAACTCCAAACGACTCCAACGATGAAGGTGCCCGAATGTCGTGATGATCTTGGAAAGAAGCCGCCAATCGAAACGACGAGCAGAACGCGGTGACCAACGCGAACCAAAGGGGTGATGGAATTCAGACGCGACGAGACGAAACGTGGAGAGGCACTTGGGTGGGCCGCAGCGTTATGATGTGTCAACCGCGAAGGCTGTAGAGACGCGAGACGGGTGAGGTGAAGACGCAAGATGCGAGGAGGGAAGACGCAAGACGCGAGTGAGTGAAGACACAAGTCGCGAGACGGGAGGCGGGTGAGGTGAAGACCCGAGATGTGAGGAGTGTAGACGCAAGACGCGAGGAGTGTGGACGCGAGATGCGAAGAGGAAAGACGCAAACGCACGCAGAAAGAGGAGAGACAAGGCGGGAAGAGCAGAGGGGAGAGTGCGCGGGGGAACAACCCGGAAGACGTGTCTGCCCAGCGCGTCGCCTCTTCCCCAGCGCCTGGCAGACTGAACAGCTGGCCCGGGCCTGCGAGCCAGCTGCGTCTCACGCCGCATCGATGGGCCGGCACCCTCCCCCGCTGGCGACGCCAGCTCTGCCCGTCCGGTTGCCAGGGCGGCCGAGAGAGGGACTGCAGCTGTGTGTGAACCGGTGGGGTTAAGCGACTGCCGCCGATATCTGACCCTGGGCCACGCCAGACGGGATGCTCAGACACGATGCTGCAATGGAGGAAGAGTGAGGGAATCCCGCCGAGCTGGGTATCATTACATCTCTCGGTAGCTGTATAAGGTAGATAGTTACAGGTCACAACCGCGGCTTCAGTCCTTGGCCTTCTTGGCCTTCTTCTCCTTGCCTTCCTTGTCCTTCTTGTCCCGTTTCTCTTTCCCCTCCTTTTCTGTCCTGTCCTTCTTGTCGCCCTTTTCTTTCTTTTCCTTGTCCTTCTTCTCCTTTTTGTCTTTCTTGTCCTTCTTCTCTTTCTTGGGCCTTTCCTCCTCAGGCTCCTCTTGTTCCGCGGGCGCACCCTCGGGTGCGTCGATTTCCATCGCATCGGGTACCTCGTCTTGAGCTTCGGCCACCGGAGCTTCGGCCACCTCATCGTCCTTTGCCACCTCCTTCTTGCCAGCGTGCTTCCCATTCAACCCCCTCGTCGCGGCGACGGGCTGCTGAGCCTGCTGCGGCAGGTCAACCTCCCTCATCCACCCCTTCCAGTCTCCCCTGCGCGTCTTCCACATGTCACCCTTCCAGCTGCGCCACACGCTGCGGCCCATCCAGCACTCCCGCAGCTCGGCCTCATGGGCTCCGAGCTGATTCATGACCGCCTCCTTCATGTGGTACGGCACGCTGAGGTCCTTGCCCTTGCTGGGCACCTCGGCGATGGCGTTGATGAGGTTGTGGCCAAACTGCGAGACCGCGAGCTCGGACGTGTGCGGCGTAACGGTGCTCACGAGAGACTTCTGGAACAGCGAGTTGGCGGCGGGCGTTGACAGGGCGGTCGTGAGAAGCGTCACGGTGGGCATGGAGGTGGTGGCGAGGCGGATGAGGTGTTCGGACGGCAGCGCGAGGAGGGACTCGTGGACGCCCTTGGAGGGGCCGGGGATGGACAGCAGGACCGTGAGCAGCTGCGCGCCGTGCGACTGGATGGCGTACTGGTTCCGCGTGAGCTGCTCGACGTCCTTGACCTTTTCCTTCTCGTCCCTCAGACAGCACAGAGTGGTGACGAGGTCGACGGGCCGGCTCCCGCAGCCCTCCTTGAGGCCCTTCATGAGCCTCTTGACCTCGTCGTTTACGCCTCTGGCGGCGCATCGCTCAAACAGGGTCTTGAGGACGTTGAACCGGGACTTGGACACGAGCTGAGGGACCGTCGGTAGGATCTGGTCGACGGCTGTGACGAGGTCATCCTTGCCCAAGCGACCGAGGACCTTGATGGCGGGATACGACGCAATGTCGTTGCGGACGTATCCCTGGATGCGGGGGAGAAAGATGTTTTGGTTGAGAGCTTTGAATACCTTGCCGGGAGAGTGCACGACCAGCGTCTCAATGAGCCGCGAGCCGATCTGGTCGTAGATCATGCCATTGACAAACTCGGACGCTTCCGAGGAGCCGTCTGCGAGGGACTTGGGGGCGCCCGGCAGAAGCTGCTGCAGGAGAGACACCTGGTCGTCGTCCGACTTCTGCTCAGACTTGTTGAGCGACAGGTCGAGCTCGAGCAGCAGCTGCAGCGTGGGGTTTCCGATGGGGTGCTTTGCCAGCACGCGCAGGCCCGTGGCGTCCATGCCGGCGGTCGAGTCGCTGACAATCTTCCGGATGGCCATGTTGAAGGAGGCCGGCACGGCGCGCAGGCCCTGGTTCTGCTCATCCGCGGCTGCGGACCCCGCCACCGAGATGTTTTCCTTCTTCTTGCTCTTCATGAGCGTCTTGACGGACGCGTCGTCGAGGGGTCGGCCGGACAGCACGAGGAGCAGGACGCGGAGGGTGTGCGACGCGAAGCGGTCCGTGATGAGGAAGCTCAGGCTGCCCTCGAGCTCGTCCAGCGTGGCCAGGAACAGGCTTTCCATGGAGGCCTCGGGCTCCTGCTGGTCAGCGCCTTTTCCCTTTGTGTCCACCACGAAGCCAGCCAGCTCCTGCGTGACGACGCCCGCAGAGCGCAGGAACAGCGCCTCGCAGCAGTGGCTGGCGAAGCGATGGCGGACGAGGGAGAGGAAGTGGCCGCCAAAGGCCTCAAAGAGGCTCTTCTTCTGTGCCGTGGTCGACAGCTGGATGAGGCGCTCCATGAGGCGCGAGCAGGACTGGCTGCTGGCGAGCTTGAGCTCCTTGCCCTTGGCCTCGGTGTAGACGCTCTCCAGGAAGAGGTCGCGGTCGTCGGTCGTCGGGAACTGGTTCAGCTCGAGCATCTCGTCGGCGCGTCGAAAGTACTCTTGCTCCTCGTCGTCGAGCATGCCAAAGAATTCCTTTTCCGCGATTCCATCGTGCTGTCCCTCGTCCGGGGCGGCGCCGTCGATCGCGTAACCGGCGGTCTCGTCGTAAGGCGCAGCATCGTCGTCGCTCCGTCGCGGGCGCTTGGCCTCGTAGCTGGAGCCGTCTGGCTCGTGCCGCTTGCGCTTGCGCTCCTCGCGGACGGCGCTTCGTTTTGAGCGCGGCTTAGGCATGGTGCTGCAACTTCAACGGTGAACCGAAGCAGAGGCTGGCCGGTGGGGTGCTGTCAATGGCGGTGTTGAGATGGACGTCTCCCAATTTTTTTTTCCCAGGCGGTGCCGATAAGAGTCTTATCGGGCCCCGGCAGGCCGGACCCTCCACATTGTCGCATTGAGCACTGAGCGTTCGACTTCCCGACCCAGGTTGCAAAGGCATTGAACGTGATTGTCGCTCAGGTCGTTAATTCTATTTTGCTGTCATCTATGCGTATCCTGAATGCTCATCGCTCTACTCCCATCTATCTCTATGTCTGTCTACTCTTGCTTTGCAATCTCGTGTATCGCCTTGGCCAGCCCCTCGACCGTCGTCGGAAGCGTCTGCACATTGACCACCACCCGCAGGAAGCTGCCCTTGTCGCCGGGCGCGTAGTCCACCATGAATCCGCGCCGGATCAGTCTCTCGACGATCCTCTGTGTCCGCTGCGTGTTGGCTGCGGCGTCGTCGACCAGCTTCCCGCCGGGGGCGTGGTAGAAGCACACCTGCAGGCACGGCGGCGGGTTGCTCGACAGCATGACAAAGTCGCCCGTTTGCTCGAGCAGCTCGTAAAGGTACGAGGCCATGTCAAAGGCATGGTCGATCTGCCGCTCAAACCCACTCGCACCATAGTACAGCCAGGCAAGCGCAACCTTGAGGCTGTCGCCTCGCCGGCCGCACTGGAGCGTGAGGTCCGCCAGGTCCCATATCTCGTCGTCGTCGCCGCCGTGGAACAGGTAACCCGCGGTCGTGCTGTTGGCCTTGTTGAACACCCTCATGTCTGGACCCAGCAGGAAGGAACATGTCGTCGGGGCATTCATCATCTTGTGCGGGTTGACAGTGAGTGAGTCGGCCAGGTGAGAGCCCCTAAGCTTCCACCGCTGCTGCGCGGAAAAGACAACCGGCCCGCCCCAGCTGGCGTCAATGTGCATCCACATGCCAAACTCCTTGCAGATCCTAGAGATGTCCTCGAACGGGTCATACGAGCCTCTGACGGTAGAGCCGGCCGTCGCGTTGACGTAGAGCGGCGTCTTGCCTTGCTGCTTGGCGCGTGCAACCAGCTCGCGCAGCTTGTCGGCGCGCATGGCGCCCGTGTCGTCGACGGGGACCTTGCACACGCTCGACTCGCCGAGACCGCAGATCATGGCGCTCTTCTCGACCGAGTAGTGGCCGTGGGCGCTGGTGAAGACGACAAAGTCATGTCCGCGGGTCCCTGCAGCCTTGGTGTCTGGGTACAGGGCATTGCGGGCGACGACGAGGGAGGTGAGGTTGGAGGAGCTGCCGCCCTGGCAGGTGATGCCGCCGGCAAAGGGACCCGCGAAGCCGAAGCGGTTGGCGAGGGCGCGGCCCGTCGTCTTCTCGATCACGCTCAGCGCTGGTGAGACCTGGTAGACGTGCAGCTGCGACAGGTCAGCGACATGGAGTGGGCGAGACACGGGATGCACCCGATTGGACGCGACTCACGTTGGTGTTCAAGACGGACAGCACAAGATCTGAGATGACGCCCACCTGCGACAGTGAGCACGGTGCATCCGAAAGGGGGCATGTGGCGCGAAGGCGATTACAGGTGTGTTGCTGGCGTACAGCTTGTCCATGAAGCCCTGGTCCCACGTGTTGACGCTGTACCGCAGCACCTTTTCGATGCCGGCGAGCAGGCCGTCCTTGCCCTGTCCCTCTTCCGGGAGGATGAACTTGAGCTTGGCCGCCAGCTCGGCGGGCTTCTGCGTGTCTACGAGGACGTTCCGGGACCGGCCCGAGGCGTCCACGGGGAGGTCGCCCGACGCCCGGTCGGCCGCAGCATCGTCGGCGGCTTGGACAAAAGGAACGATGAGTTGTCTCACCGCGCTGATGAGCTGCAGGTGGTGAGATTTTTTTTAGTCAGACGCGCGACTCCTGGCGGCCATGGGGCAGGAAGCGAGCCAGACGTACATCGTCGAGCTCTTCAGCCCTGTGAAGGCGAGGCCCGGACCCGTTGGAGCCATTGGCCCCGTGGGTCGCGTGCCCGTTGATTGCCGAGGGGGTCATGTCGCGCGGTGCAGGGTAGGGTGCCCTGGGTGTGGCCTGGGGTACCGTTGGTGTGACGAAACGTGGTGATGTATGACCAAGTTGGTTATGCGAGATGGTGGGGTGGTGGAAATGCGCCCCTCATCGACACGGAGCGGGAAAAGAGAGTCGAGGTTCGAAGACCAGAGGCGGGAAAAGGGTCAATGGATAAAAATGGGACTTGCCCCGGACGAGGGCCTTGGTCTAGAAAAAACATGCGTACCGAGGAGCATGACAGGAGCCGGAGGGTCGTCGCCCGGGACTGGCTTAGAACTTAACTAGCACCTGGCTGGGCCCGGCGGGCGCATCTGCCGTCATCCGAGTCTTTGCCGGATCGGACCGGCGCTGGAGCAGGTGCGGTCTCGGGAGTAGTAACGTTAGGTTTGGCTTTTTTTTCTGACCCCTCGGCGCACGGGAAAAGGCCGCAGTTGGGGGCGCCAGCAATAGCGAGTCCGAAGCCTCCTTGGCAGCCATCCAGGGCCGAGATCGCCCTTCTCGCAACGTGAGTGGAGGGGACCGACGTTTGCGTGCTGAAGAAATCGCATGGCGTCTTTGTCACGGCCCGGGCAGCCGCCTGGACCGGCAACCCCATTTGGTGCAGCGACGGTTCCAACAGAGCGCCTGCAGGATGGGGGCATGCCGAGCGCGCCAGACAGGAGCCTGCTACTGACATCCACTGGTAGAATCAGCAGCGAATGCCTGGCATCCGCCCCGCTGCAAAGGGCAAGTCGAAGCGGCACCTGCTCCCCGGCTGGGCGTGCCTTGCAGCCGGCGACACGGTGACTCGCAGCACCAGATTGGCAGCCCGCCGCCCGCGGATGGCATGCTGCTTCGTTGCGGGCGCGGCAGACGTCGTCTGATAACCCAAGATGGGGCCATCCGCACGGCAGCAAGCGATTGGGGGGGAGGGGAGGGGGCGGCGCGGGCAGCAGCACCTTGGTTCGCATGCCATCAGCCCTCCCTTCCTTGCACGGTCCCCCATTCGTACAACGAACCTACACACTTTAAACCTCGCTTCGTATACAAAGCATCACCGCGTCTGCGCCGTCTGCCTGCGGCGCGACCGTGATGAGACCGGCAGCGCGGTGATGTTATGTGGCGGCCCAAAAGCAAGCACGACTGGATCGCCGCGGCGGCGGAGAACAAAGCCAGCATCAATGAATGACATGCTGCTGGGCTGTGGTTCATCCGACCGCGGCCCAATGCTGCAAGTGATGGTCAGCCCCGGTCTGTGCGCGCTTCTTCGACAGCCGCTCGACGAGTCCCACGACCCCTGAGCACGGCCGCCGCTGCCATGCCACCCGCGGCGCACAGGCACTCGTGCGGCCGTAGTGTCCACCTTGGGCTCGGGTATCCATGGATCATGAAGAGCAGCGGCTCTGGCACCCGTGAATCACGTCGGCCGCTCGTTCAGAGCGTGGCGCGACACGGCGACGACCCGATCGTGGCGCCTGCCAAGCAGGTCACCTGCATGCGCTCGGAGATGAAGCCGTCGGCCAGACCTAGGCGCCGGACGGCCCTTATCGTGCTGCACTGTACCTGAGCACTCGAGCCTGGCAAAGATCCGAGGAGATGCGCGCGCGCGCGGAGCTCCCGGTCTGCAAGTGCCGACGTGATCACCGCCATGCCGGCGGAGGAGATGCTCATCCCTCATCCCCCCCGGCGCGGTCACAGTCCTCTGCAACGCAACCGAGTGCCAAGACTCGCTGAGCCGCAGCGCGCCCCGTGCCCGGTTGCGTCATGCTCGGCGAACGACTTGAGTTTGCCTACGTACGTACCTGCCAGGTGCGTATGTAGTATGTATGTCAACGAGGGGGCGGGCCGGCATATCTGAGGGGGTTTCTGCGGGCCTTTGCCGTCGTTCATCTAACATGCCTTGGGGCTGCAAAGTGACTGCGGCCCCTGGGGCATGGCGTGTCGTCGGCGGCAGAGCGCGGGCGCATCACATCACGCGTCATCCTCTGGACGCAGAAGGCAGAGAGCAGGTGCCCATCGCTTGGTCGAGAGAGGCTGGTTGAAACACTGTGGCTCGATGGGTCGCGCGAGCCCGTTCGCCGGGTTTCGTGTTCCGGGAAGGGCCCCCCGTGGCGGCGAGCGCGTGTAAGTGAGCCACCCACCGACCGTGGAGGAGGAGGGCCGTCGCTCAGCCGCATCATTGCGCGAGCCGCCACGGCGCAGCCTGCCCACACGGACGTGGGACATGGATATGGCGCCGGGACAGGCCGGCGTCCGTGGGGCGTCATGGAGTCATGGCATCGTCCCGCGTGTCAGGTGGGAGGTTGCACGTTGACACTTGCATGTCGCAACGGCTCTCGGGTGCAGCATCTTGATCGGTGTCTAACACCAGACGGACCCGCAGGCTCTCCTCCCTTGGGGGTCGCCAAGGGAGGACAGCTATTTGGACATGACCAGGTGTATACTACAGGAAAGGGCATCTCCAAGCAGCAGCGATAGCAACGGGAGCAAATTTACCAGCGGTAGCAGCGGCGGCGTCCGATTAGCCTCTCCCCGCCGCCATGGGGCAAGACAAGCGAGGCCGTGGGTTGATATTCACGCATTGCGCAAGATGACTTGCAGCTCCGAGAGAGAGAGGCAGCAGCGGCAGGGCCGACAAGGTCTCCCAGCCGGGTCTCACCACCCGCGCGTCTGTCATATGCGAGGCACAGGTGCGCAGCCTCGAAAAAGAAAACTCCCCCGCCCGCGATGTCTGCGTCTGCGCTCTTCCTCACGCGATTCTCTGGACGCAGGGCGGGAACACGCGAAAGCAACCCTTCCTCCGAGGAGAGCCTCGTTCCTCCCCCTCCTCTCCCTCTGCCCTTCTTGGCCCGGTCCCCTCCCTTGCGCGCTCGCGCGCTGTCTGCCCTCGTCGTCTCGCGCAAAGGCAAAGGGGCCCGCGTCCCCTCCCCATTCGCATTTATACTCGGCACGCGCCGCTTCGTCACATCCAGCGCTCCGGCCACTGGCACGCACGCATACCCTCCCCCCGCCGTATCCTGCGCTGCACCCATCGTGCCACGGCAATCGCAATCACGCACATACGAAGTGCAGGACACGACCGCTTGGCGCTCGCGGCGGCCCGAGGCAGTCCAGTCGACCGGCGGCATCGCATTGCAGCGTCGTCGTCGTCTCGTCTCGTCGCTGTCCCGCGCGCTGGCTACTGGCTGCTGCGCGGCTGCGCTGCTGCGCCTGGTTGATGCCCAGCGTCGCCGTCGCCGCCGCTCGAGCCAATATATCTGCGGGGACCGACCTTTTACGTACGAAGCAGCAATTTATTTAGGAGGGGCCCCCCTTGTCCCGTCGTCGTGCCCTGCGTCGTTGCTCCGCAGACGAGGCGACGACCCCTGACTCCTGAGTGCTGAGTCCCCTGAACCCTTACAGGCTACAGGCTGCAAGTACAAGCACACCTACTGCCTGGCAGGGCTCCGCCGCGTGCGCCAGACAGCGAGGGGTTAGCCCAGCTCGGCGGGCGTGTGCTTTGACACTTATATTATCCGCAAGCCTGACCTGAAGGCGGCTATTGTGCTGGCTTGGCCTGCCTGCACGCAACCCCAACCGACCGACCTCCAGCCGCTATCATCGGCCGATTGCCTGCCGTCTGGTCTTGACGTTATTTTATTTACCAAGGTTGTTTGGCGAGGCTGCCGTCGTGGCCGCGCGCGCACCGTCGCCTCCACCAGCCCTTCATCACTCACCCTGCCGCCGCCGCTCGAGCGAGATCTTGGGTCCAGCAATTGCTGTGAACCCTTCTTCTTCTCTTTCTTCACCTCCGGATATTCCAGCCTTGCCATTGCAGAGGTCGCTCTTGGGCATCCGCGCAAAGCAAGCGCTTCCCGTCTTGTCCTCTGTTGGCCTCCTCAACCCTGTCGGCTGGACCCAGCAGCGAGCCCCTCCCCCGGCTTCGCCGCCTGCAGTGACGATCCGCTCCCGTCCGTTGTCGACAACCTAACGCAGGACAGCGGCGCGTGCCCAGGCACAAGCACGATCGGGACAGCACGAGCACGGCAGCGACCCGGGCTCGATCCCGCTGAGGTCCCTTCGGCTCATCGGCAGGAATCGACGGCGGCGCGGGCCTCTCCTTGGGGGCCGTGCTGGAGCTGAAACCTGCAGCGACGCAACGACTCGAGTCGCGTCCACGACACCGGGCTCTTCTGGGTGTGCCGTCGTCCTCTTTAGGGGCGAGCATCCCCATCCGACGTCGAGGCCCGCAATGCTCTCTCGGGAAGCAGCAGCCATGGCTCACCACGGCCAGTACCACCATCACAACCACAACCACAACCACAACCACAACCACAGCCACAGCTCCCACCACCAACACCAACACCAACACCATGGGCAGCCACAGCAGCAGCAGCGGCCCGCCGTGCCCATCTCCATCACCATCTGCGGCGACGGCGGCTGCGGCAAGTCGTCCATCACGCTGCGCCTCGTGCGCTCGCAGTGGACGTCCGAGTACGACCCCACCATCGAGGACTCGTACAGCGTCACGCGCCGCATCGACGGCGCGACGTACCACCTCTCCCTGACGGACACGGCCGGCCAGGAGGAGTACCGCGGCATGTGGGCCGCCTCCAACCTGGGCGCCGACGCCTTCCTGCTCGTCTACGACATCACGTCGCGCGACTCCCTGCACGCGCTGCAGTACTTTGACGACCTCATCGACATGGAGTCGGAGACGCGCCTCGACAACGCCGAGCGCGCGCGCCGCGCCGGCGTGCCCCCGGCCAGGATCGCCGCCGGGGGGGGCCTCGGCGCCGGCGGCACGGGCGGTGCGAAGACGGTCCCGCCCGTCAAGATCGTCGCCGGCAACAAGTGCGACCTCCAGGAGAGCAGGCAAGTGCCCGCCGCGCAGGGGCTCGAGTGGGCCCGCCGCCGCGGCTGCGGCTTCATGGAGACGAGCGCCCGCCTCGAGGTCAACATCGAGGAGACGTTTGCCCTCATCGTCCGCCGCGTTGTCGAGCGCCGCCGCCTCGCCGCCATGGGCATCCTCGACAACACCGAGATGAACGCCCGCGGCATGACCAAGCCGCTGACGCCGCTGCCCGTGGGTCACGACGAAGACGACGACGACGACGGCGGTAGCGGCGGTGCTGGCGGCGGCGGCGGCGAGAAGCGGGCGCCGCGCATGCGCGGGCCGAGACTGCACGGGCACCGCCTGAGCCGTGGGCCGGGCGGCTTCTGGAGGATGCTACGGTGTTGGTGATGCGAATGAGCAACGTGTTTACGACATTTCTCTTTCCATTTTGTTTTCTATCTATACTGCCATGCGCTGCGGAGTGATTTCGGACTGGCCAGGGCAGCGGGTTACCTTTCAGATGTATAGCTTTGGGACTCTGACATTTACAACGGACATGGATGGGTCTGGCGCTTGGGAGCGGGATATCTACCTACGGGCCTCGGAAGACGGAAAGTGGCGGGAGACGACGACCCGTAATGAGGGACAGACCATGTATTGTACGCGAGCATGGCAGGGACGACGATGACGGAACGTTACAGTTGAGCGTGTTTCTGAGAAAAGCGCCTCGATTGCCCTTGTTTTGCTGCCAACAGTGGCAGCTTCGCTTGGGCTGGACGGGACACCAAAGGCTGACGTGCAGTGAAGCATACAAACTAAACAGTAAAGCGATTGAGCGTGTTTATTAGAAGTGCTATTCTTCATGCCACCATTTGGCAGAGATCCCGTCCCGTCCCATCCGTTTACCATGCGCCGTTGCCAGTGTAGAGTAGAAAATCAGATACAACGCCGCCACGCCGACATGTCTATCATCACTGCTTGTTGGAAGCAGCCCAGGCCTTCCACTTCTTGTACTCGGCGTGGTTCATGCTGTGCTTTTTGCCCTGGTAGCGCGTCACCTTGAGGTCCAGGTCCTTCCACTTGTTGCGGCTGCCCATCCAGCCGGCCTTGCGGATGAGGCTGAAGAGCGTCTCGTCTTGGGTCCAGCCCTGCTCGGCTGCCACGTCGGGCAGGTACGTCGCGCCGTAGCGGCGGCCTCGGTCGTAGAACGAGAGGCGGATCCCGTGCGTGCCAATCTCCCAGTCATAGGGGTCGTCGACCTCCTCGAAGTCGGTGAGAAGCGTCACGGCGGCCTGCAGCTCGGGCAGCTCGGCGCGGGTGACGGGCGGGAAGCGCGAGTCGTGGACGGCGGAGATGACGGCGTACTCGGGGATGCCGACGGCCAGCGGCTGGGCCTCAAAGGTGCCGATGCAGCCGCGCAGAGAGGTGTCGCCGTCGTCCTCGACCGTGTTCCAAGTGACGAACAACGGCGTGGACGCCGGCGCGCCGCCGAGGGGGAGGGACGACGTCGACGTGGCCGGCGTGGACGCGGAGGCCAAGGAGTTGGAGGAGGAAGACGACGACGTCGAGAAGGAGTCGGTGTCGGCGGCGACGCGACGGAGGTTGGGGTCCTTGAGCGGTGCTGCTGCTGCTGGTGTCGTCGACGAGCTGGCGCCGGAGCTCACGTAGCTGGCCCACGACGCTTGCAGGCGGTCGAGGGAGAGGGGCTTGCGGTCAGTCAGGTGGGCGTCGAGCGCCTCGAAGCACATGAGGCAGTGTTCCGAGGAAGCCATGGCGGGACACGGGAATCGGGATCGGGATCACGGAGTGGGGACCGGGGGAGTCTTGTTCACGGAGGGCCGGGTGGCAGCGAGCAGCACCAGGGACACGGCGACGCAGACCGAGGTGGGTTATGCTGGCGACGACGAGGCACGAGAGAGACGCGGAGGTCGAGGGTGCGTGAATGTCGGGGGCGGAGGAAGCCTGGTCGTCAGCTGGCTTGGTCCGAGGCGCATCCCTTCGCTGCGTCACCCCACCTGGCATCGATACCCCGCGGTGGTGGTCCTTGCGGATGGGCGTCGACGAGGTGGAGTGGGTGGATGCAGGCGCGGAGGAATGAGGAATGAGGAGCGATGGGTGGTGAATGAGGGGAGCTGAGGTTGTGCAAGCCTTGACCAGGTGGCTCAAGGCCAATTCGGGCCTTGCACAAGAGTTGTGCCGATTTGTGTGCGCCCCGCGTTACTAATTCGGGCACGGGCGTGTCAGCCGTCCCGGCGGGCCGCATTTTCATTCTTCCCGGCCCGGGGAACACATGCCACACACGGACAGGGACACACAAACTGTCGGTCACACAGCCACACGCCAGTGGCTGTCCCGCGTCCAGTGTCCAGTGACTTCAGTGTCTCCAGTGCTCCACCGTCCAGCTCGTGGCTGTTTCAACCCTCCGCGTCGCTGGCGATGCCTCGTCTTCAGATGATGGATGACGGCTTTGCCCCGTCCCAAGCTACGACCGCGGAGCTTGCCGCGACGAACGACCGCGCAGCCATCGGCCTGGCTCAGCAAGCTGGAACCGGAACGTGGGCCATGCGGTCTGATCATCCCACGAACGGGCACCGGAGTCTGGGGACTTGACACACGCCCACGTTTCAGCGACGTTACCGAATTCATGCGCTCGCCGCTCTGCCGTTGGCCATGTCTGCCAACCGCCCCATAGTTGGGTGCGGTGAAACGACGAAAAGCTTCTCCGGATTAAACTGTGCCGCCAAGCAAGCCGGCTTCCCGTCCGCTGTGGTTCAACTGCCAGCCCGCAGATGGGCGTTTGCAGGTGTAGCATCCCGTGCCTGCCATCCCGGCCGGGAGGGGACGCGTCGTCGTATCTCTGCCAGGGGCGCCTTTGACCCGGTCTCAACTTGGTAAATCCTGCTGCGGCTGCACATGGCTCCGGGTGGCGTTCGGAAGGGTCAAGACGAGACGACTTGTCTGATCTCCAGCCGGAGGGCTATACGGGCGGCCGCCTTGGTTATAGCATGGCTCTGGATGGGACGAAGTGAACCGCGGGCAGGGCTACATATATGGCGAGCCCCGTCTGGAGCCAGCGCAGTGCATGTACTTTCGCCCTATCCAAACAAACCACCCTTCAGTCCTTGTACCATCTATTCCTGTCTTTCCTTTGCAGAGCAGGGTATTCGTTCCTTTCGCAGCCAACATTCACCAATATGCAGTTCTCCTTCGTAACGTTGTTTGCCCTCGTCGCTGCCGCCATGGCCAGCTCGGATGGTTAGTCGACAGTCACGGTGCCCTTCAAGCTTCATGAGCTGACACTTCCCCTCAGATGGCCTTGCCAAACGCCAGGAAGCCGTGGTCGATGTGCAGGCGGCAGCCATGACGGACAAGCAGGGCAACGTCATTGCGTTCGATGCTTCCAAGGTCTATCAAGCCAACACCGAAGCCGGCCTGTGAGGAACTGCCGAGGACAGGGGCCGAGTTGGAGGAGCAACGCCGCGTTGGCAGGCGACCACCAAGCACATAATGTTGGTTAGGGAAATCCCGGGTGCTGTGCATTCTTACAGTGCACGCGACATGTTACGCTTAATGACTGGACTGGGTGAGGATACTCATAGACGCAGCGGATATCTGCGAGCTCGATGAAATGGAATAGTGGCTGAGCCACGGTTCATCGTCTTTTACATCAGCATGTTTCGGTCGGCTCGGTGCCGAGGGACTGTGCTTCCCGAGCACTCTCACTTGTTGGTCGGCCATGTCGTAGTCAGCCAGCAAACAGAGCCCAACAATGGGAGCATTCACATCTCAGCAAACCGCACGGCATGTGCCGACGGTCAGTCAACCCACTGCTTCTATGTATAGATTTAAAACAACAGAAGGGGTGAGGTGAGGACCACAGTCCAACGAGCCAGGACGTCATTGAACTGGTACCTGTGGCACTCAGTAAGGACCTCGTCGCGGCTAAAGGAAACCTGGACGCAGACCAGACGCGGGACGCGCGCGTCAAAGCCGTCTAGTCCCGGTCTGTTTCTATTCAAGGTGTCTCATCAGTGGGAATATCGAAATGCCGAGACTGGAAGGCCCGTGGGAATAATCGCGCAGGATTCGAGCACTGCCTCGACAAGAGTCTAGGCGATTGCCTCTGCGGCGCGACTTGCGGCAGAGCGGTCAACCGTCAGCCTGCCCCGTCTTCATTTCCAGACAGTCGGTGGAATCCTCCAGGGCTGAGCGTGCGGGGACTTGGCTCTGGTGTGTTTGCCCAAAATAAGCCTAACCGACCGTCGTAGCGTCATCCTTTGAGCCCCATCTCGCGCGACCAGCGAGCCGGAGACCTCGACGCTGGGCGGTGGTGTTTTGTGCCCAATCGTCGAGCGTTCCGCCGGGCCACCCCGGTCGCTGGGTGCGAGAAGCGCGTGGCTAGCGGGAGGCAATATGAAGTGTCCGCCATGGTGCGGCGTGGGAATGGAGACGGACAAGGGATGATGTGAGACTCAAAATCTGACGACCCTGGGCTGGGGCTCATGTCATTTCGAGAAGGACGGGATGCGCAACGGGAGCACCTTCATGATTTGGAGGCAAGAGGATCAAGGGACTTTGTAAACAGGATCGGTTCGCAGGCGGCCGGGAAGCAGCTGTGTTGGGCGTCGTGCAGGCGCAAGTTCTCACCAGTGACAACGCATCGCATGTTTCGACGACGGCGCACCGGCCGTTCCGCGGCACCGAGCCCAAGCATGGAAGGCTCCTGCAAGAGCCAATGGACTCGCCGGCTCTGCGCAGGCTGCCCTGCTCCCGAACGCGGCGCGCACTGAAGAAAGCCACCAGGGCTGTCCCCCTTGCGGCACGACTGGTCAGCTCCCACTCAGCCGCAAGCCTCGGGCGGGCGGCGCCTCAGGGACCGGCGCCAGAATGGGTGTTGGTGATGTGACGGGGACTGGCGGAGGCGCGAGGCGGTGTCCAGTTGCCTGCCGTCCGTGAATCCCTGTCCGCCTTGCGGGCTTGGGCCAAGATCTGGGCGATGCTGGACGCTCCATGTCGGCGGGGATCCGACTGACTCTTGGGTGATGACGGGGCTGCATGCCGGGGAGGCTCAACTGGGGTTGGCACTGGGCAGTGTGTATTAAATGACCGCAGCTGGAACATGGGACGAACTGTTGGTCCCCGTGAAGTTTTGTCTGCACGCGGACGGCCAATCCCGGGATTCATACATAATACATACTGCGTTTTAGACCGAGGCAATCACGGACATGAACACGACGACCTCGCGGCAGTAACACAAGATCGAGCTGTCCAGGTGGCACCACGCTTTCGAACGACACCGCGGCCACGTTGCGTTGACCGAGACAACTGAACAACAAGGAAGATGGCGAACCACAGGGCACAGGCACAGTTTGACCGGGCGCGGTGGAGGCTCGCGGTGCTGCTCCCGGTCTGGGCGTTGCAGGTGCTGCTGGCGACGTCCATGATGGGGCTGTTCTCCTGGCGTCTGGGAGATACGATCAAACATTACGACGAGCGGGACCAGAAGGGCGAGACGCCGACGATTGAGTTTGCGTAAGTTGTTCCTACCCAGCGGCGGACACACAGCGGTCGAGTGTCAACCCAACGGGGGCACAAGAAGTCCAAAGACTGACTAGACCCTCGCAGCTGGGAGGCCACAAACATCGCCATGTCGTTCATCGTCGCCCTTTGCACCTTTTTCGAGATTGCCAAGTTTGTGAGCGAGTCCTTGACGCCCTGGACGATGCTCTTTACGCACGTCATCAAGTTGACGTGTGCGGCGGCCATTCTTGCGCTCGACGTGGTGGTGTATATCCAGCGAAGCGACGCACACTACTCGCTTGTCGGCATCGCCCTGGATGCGGCCTTGATGTGAGTGCCAACTGCACGTCACCACTTTACCCGATCTTTTGGATGCTGACGGATGCACATCAGCGTGACGGCCATTGCGCTCGTCGTCTACGCAGTCTTCACGTACCGCCGGCTTTCTGCATACGACGACTACGCACGACCAGTCAACGTCAAGGGGTACGGTTTCAACGACGGGCTCGACCGCGACTTTTCCTACTCGAGCCGGCTGAGCGTCGACAACGGCAAGCGCGGCTCCGTCACGTCGTCCCGCCTGAGCATCGGCTCCATCGGCGGGCCCTTCAGCACGAGCAACTACCGCGCAGCCAGCGGGAGCGAAGACGAGCCGGTGCACCTGCAGACGATGGAGCGGACGCCGAGCTTCTACAGCCACCAGCGGGACACGCAGTTCGACGAGTACGTGGCGCGGCGCAGCTCGCAGGGCAACGGCACGCTCAAGGCCGACGTGGAGCGAGCGCTGAGCGCGGAGCTGGAGCGCGGCGGCGGCTCGCCCGACGCCATGGTGGTGGGATCGGGGGTCGTCAAGACGCGCTCGCGGGGGCCGAGCATCGGGCGGGCGGTCAGCTACACGAGCGACCACGTCCTCGTCGCGGTGCCGGAGGAGGCCGAGGCGGAGCACCACCACGAGACGGACCGGGCGGCGCTGCTGGGGCGGGGCCGCCGGGACAGCGACCAGGACCACCGGAGCGCCGACCGGGAGACGGACGGGCCGGCGGTGCCGCAGGAGGTGGATGTCGCGGAGCCGAAGTGGCGGAGGGAGTAGGAGAGGCGAGGCGGCTCGGGCCGGACATGGAACCACGGACCGGCAGGGTGCTTACGAAGGCATGATACCCGGATACTATTTGATGGCATGACTGGCGTTTGGGGGGCATTACTGTATTGCAAAAACGGAGTGTTGCTAGTGTTACATCGGCACTCGGGGACGCATACACTCGGCGTATAGCGGAAGAAGGGGGAAGCACGGTGCTCGCTGCTCACATCACAATGCAAGTGATTTCTGCACTGCAGTCCCGTCGCCAGATGGCACGTTAGTTCTGCTCCTGCACACTGCACGGCTCTCGTTGGCATGCCATGCCGTCGTCTGCAGGAGGCATCCTGCGAGGGGGCTTCGAGATGAGTTTACCGTCGCCACAACTTGCTTGCTGCCTGTGCTTGGTTCCAGAGGCTGTGCTGTGTGGTGGTCTTCCGGCAACAATCGCTTCTTGGGTCGGCCATTGCCTAATCCATCAGGGCAAGTTGCAACGCTGGTGGAGCCGCGCGGTTAGGATCGCTGTCAGCCCGCCGGGCGTCAACCAACCACGACCACGATCGTCAGTTGGTAAGGACAGGGCAAGGCCTAGCTGGTGACGTCTGGAGACGCAATGGCGTTGTGCTTGCATTGGAGAAGGCTCGGCGCGGGTCGAGGAGGCAGAAACGCATGAGCGGTTTGGCCTGCGTCGCCGCGCCAGTGCCATCTCCCGCATATTTGGGGTGACATGGAGCTTTTCGCTCTTCGTCACGACAAATGCATCTTGCGCTCCAACGACTGCGCTGGCCCCGACCATGACGCGCGACGAGGCGCTGCAAAACAGCTACGGCCCGGAGGTGACGCCGTATCAGACGGCCACTCAACCGCTTCCCGAGCCCTACAATGGGCCGCCACGATACGAGGGCGGGCTGGAGAAGACGCCAGAGCCCTCCCCCAACACGGCCAGCCCGGGCAACGATTCGATAGAGCGCGCGGTGGTTCATCCTCACCCACTGCGCAGGCGCGTCTGCGGAGTGCCAAGGTCCATCTTCTGGGTCATCGCGACGCTCGTGGTGCTCGCCGTTGTCGGACTCGGCGTGGGTCTCGGCGTAGGGCTGGGCGTCAAGCATGGCGGTGACGACTCGGCATCGGCACAGACGTCGGAGACATTGCCGGCGACGGCCACGGCGCCGAGCTCGTCCGTGCCCCCATCATCCACAGCGTCTTCGTCGTCATCATCATCGTCAACAACGAGCAGCGCCGCGTCGGCCGTGGCCACGTCCGGCACCCACGGCATCGCGGCCAACAGCTGCACCTTCAAGACTCCCAAGACGTACGCGGCCAAGGACGGGACCACCATCTTCACGCAGTACTGCTTCACCGACTGGCCCAAGAACACGGCGACGGCGGACGGGCGCGGCAACGTGACGGACGTGAGCCACACGACGGCGTACACGTTCGAGGAGTGCATGGAGGCGTGCCTCAAGTACAACAACGCGTCGGCGGCGACCGACACCAAGTGCCAGGCCGTCACGTACAACGCGAACCTGACGCTGAGCATCGAGGTGCGCGCAAAGGGAGGCAACTGCTTCCTCAAGGACAGGAAGGGAGTGGACATACAGGGCAGCGCCGAGGTGGCGTCGGGGGCGATTGCGTTTTAGTTGGGCGATGACGCAGAAATCCGCTGTTTGCTTTGGTGTACCAAGTAGCGTCCTAGATAGATGTAGATGGTGTTGCGGAGGGGAATAGATACCCGTCGGAGCGCAGGTTGGCTCGAGATATGTTGGGTCCACCAGCAAAGATACGCGCGATAGAGCCGGCCGACGCGCGCACGAGTCAACACGTTGCCAGGTTACAGTACATACAACAGACAGTACAGTGCAGTGCTCCGTACGCCCATGCGCAAAGACTGTCAAAGTTTGCACCATGGAGCCAACACAGGCAAGCTTCGTGCCTTGTTGGAAGCGATGAACATGAAGGCGCTCCACAGAATCCACACGCTGCTGCTGCTGTTGCTACCGGGTCGTATCCGAGGACGCCTCGTGCCGCCGTCGCCATCAAAATGTTTGCGGAGGGCCCCAAGTTACATCGGGGGCCCCCGTCTTTCAGCTATCGGATTCGATAGCACGAGCCGTTGGACCGGAATGGCATGGCATGGCATGAGCATGGGCACGGCATGGCATGGCAGAGGAAACGTGACCATGTGCGCTCTGCGGTGGCGGCCAGCCTCGACTGAGCCTAACGTTTTGAAACCTTGTCGGGGCGCGCAGACGGGAGACCGGCCCCGGCCCGGAGCCAGCAGCCGGTGAGGAGGAGGAGGGACGTGGTGAGCCTGTGACAAAGAAAAAAGAATGGGGAGGGCACCCACTATGGCACGCGCACGAGGGCGAAGAAGGGGGGGCCAAGGGGGAGAGATGGAGGGGAACCGAGCGGACCAGAACCGCATGTGTGCTGGCGGGAACGCAGCAGCCACCATCCAGCCACCATCCAATCCAGCCTTGGCAGCCCGGGGCCCATGATCGCTGGGATGGGACCGATGGGGTTCGTTGATGCACGAGTATGATTGCGAGCCCGGGGTGGCGCCTGTTGGCTCGTCGCGATTTGACGGATCATGGCATGCCTATGGATACTTACCAGTTATGGGCCACGACGGGCTTGGTGGACATGGGGCATGGGAAACAGCACCCCATGGACACCGTCGAGAAACAATCAATCATTCATGATGGATGGACGCTGCTGGAGCGGGCGACCCACCCCCGCGATCCCCAGTCGCATCCACCATCAATCGCCAACGGGCCAAGACGGGACGGCTGGCGCTGGCAGCCGATTGCAACTGCATGTAACGCCACAGGTCGGGGCCGGGCCTGGCTGGCGGGCATCGCGCCCGTCCCAAGCTCTGCGAGTTCCTGGGTCGACGACACATCGACGCCTCTCGACGCCTCGTCGACGCCGCCCAACGCCGCGCGACAAGACGGCAGCACGAGTCCAGTCCCTCCGGGCAGCTTCGCCAGACGGCACCAGGATTCGTTCGTCGCTACCCTGCCATGCCGCTGACACGCCACTAGTGCGCCCATGGCCCCCGGGGTAAGTCTCTTGGTGTCGTGGATGGGCGGGGCCACCGTGATCCCCTGACCGGCCGGTGCGTGCGTCCTGCCTCGCCTGGCCTGGACAGCTGGGGCGGGACTGGGACGAGGTGGAGGCGGCGGGCGGAGAGAAAAAAAGCCTGCGAGATACGGGACGAGATTCCAGGACCCGACGGGACGAGGGACTCCCGACACCCGAATTGGGGCTCCGAGAGGCAAACCTTTCCATCTCGTACGATGGCAAGCCGGCCTCGCCTGCAGACCGCTGGTTTATACGAGGCGGCGCGCTGGCCGCTGTGGAACGCCCTGCCAAAGTTCATTCTTGAATAAACGAGCTGAGCGGGCAGGGCCGGAGTGGGCATGAATGGCCGTCCTCGTGATTAGGGGCAAGGACGGCGCGGACCCGACATAGCCGGGTCGTGACGCCGCAACGGGCGAGGGGGGCCGGCCAGACAAGCTTACTTCACACATACTAACTCACGGAGCAGCACCAGTTGCACACACGGTACGGCTGGCCCATGACTGGTTACCCCCTCCCCTCCCCCACAGGCCAAAAGGACCGACACTCGCTCACACACACACACGGGGATGTAACCATCCATGGTCGGTCGCTCGACCAACGAGGGCGCTGGAGACGCGCTTCCGCGGCCCTGACAGCCAGCCTTCTGGGCCCCTCTGGCGTCCGAAGCCGCCCTGTGCTGGCGCATGCAGGGTCTTAGGGAACGTTGTCTCAAGACCCGACGTGACAATGGCCAGCCGGCCAGCCCCAGGGAAGCAAGCTCGTCTTCGTGTCTGGCGTCGAGCTTCTGCCGTGCGACCGTGGGCGACTACCACTGTTACAGTAGTACCGCAGAAAAAAAAGAGAGGGCGAGAGAGAGGGACAGCTTGCTTGCTCCAAATGTGCCATTAAAACTAGCCTGCTTCCCCCCCGTTTCTCCATTGTCGTCCGGTCTGTTTTGTTTTCTGGTCGAGCCACCCCCCCGACGGCGACCGCCTTGACTAACCAAACCTTGACCCCCTTTGCCCAGCAGCAGCACACCCGCACCGCGACGACAACAGCAGCAGCAGCGCGCGAACCATGGCTGACGAAAAGGGCCCCGTGGGCGCGACAGAGCCGGCCGAGCCGCACTATGAGGCGGCGCGCGAGTCGACGCCCGTCGATGAGCTGCACATCCGCGAGGACGGCCAGCTCGACCTGCCGCGCGGCTGGAAGTACAAGCGCATCCGCTTCCTCGGCATGGAGACGTGGTACGCCTCGCCCAAGGTCCAGCTGGGCCTGGTGTCCTTTGTGTGCTTCATGTGCCCGGGCATGTTCAACGCCCTGGGTGGTCTGGGAGGTGGTGGCAAGACCGACGCCACCCTCGCCGACAACATGGTGAGTTGACCAGAACGAGACCAAAAAAAAAGCCAATTCCATCAAGGATGGGAGAGGAGGAGGGGGGACGGACGGACGGGACCGCGGGCTAACGGCAAGAAACCACCACCAGAACACGGCCCTGTACAGCGCCTTTGCCGTCTTTGGCTTCTTTGGCGGCACCTTCATCAACAAGCTCGGTGTCAAGTGGACGCTTGCCTTTGGCGGCATCGGCTACTGCATCTACGCCATCAGCCTGCTCGTCTCCGTCCACGCCAGCGTCAGCGGCTTCAACCTCTTCGCCGGCGTCTTCCTGGGTATCTGCGCCGGTCTGCTGTGGACGGCGCAGGGCACCATCATGATCTCGTACCCCAATGAGGAGCAAAAGGGCCGCTACTTTGCCTGGTTCTGGGGCATCTTCAACTGCGGCGCCGTGCTCGGCAGCTTGGTGAGTCGGCACTTCCATCGTACCCCCCCTGGTCGCGCGCGGCATGCAGCTTGCTGACTCCGGTACCCCCCCAATAGATCCCGCTCGGTGAGAACATGCACACCAAGGGCAACGTCACCGTCACCGACGGCACGTACATTGGCTTCATCGTGCTCATGTTCTGCGGTGCCGTGCTCGCCCTCATGCTCTGCAACGCCAGCGACATCATCCGCCCCGACGGCACGCGCGTCATTCTCATGAAGCAGCCCACCTGGCAGACGGAGCTGTGGGGTCTCTGGGAGACGCTGCGCTTCGAGCCCTTTGTCGTCCTCCTGTTCCCCATGTTCTTCGTGTCCAACTGGTTCTACGTCTACCAGCAGAACGCCGTCAACGGCGCGTGGTTCTCCACCCGCACCAAGGCCCTCAACGGTCTGCTCTACTGGCTGGCCCAGATCATCGCCGCCGCCATCTGGGGCTACCTCCTCGACGTCCAGAACGTGAGCCGCTCGCTCCGCGCCAAGATCACCTGGGTCGTCCTCTTCGTCCTCACCTTTGCCATCTGGGGCGGCGGCTATGCTTTCGAGAAGGGCTACACCCGCGAGAGCGTCGACCCCAAGCTCAACCCCGACTTTGAGCCCATGGACTGGACGACCCCTGGCTACGTCGGCCCCATGTTCCTCTACATCTTTTACGGCTTCTACGATGCCGCCTGGCAGGCCAGCGTCTACTGGTACGTACCAACCCCCTTATTAACCCGCAACACATGTAGGACCACTCGCTCACCCGCATCGCAGGTTCATGGGCGCCTTGTCCAACTCCGGCCGTCGCTCCGCCAACTACGTCGGTTTCTACAAGGGCATCCAGAGCGTCGGTGCCGCCGTGGTGAACAACCTGGACGCCCGCAAGCTGTCCTTCAAGGCCGAGTTCATCAGCAACTGGGCCCTGCTGGGCTCGTCGCTGGTGGTAGCCGCGCCCGTCATCCTCTTCAAGATCCGCGACCACGTCGACGTCGAGGACGATCTCAAGGGCACGGACGAGACCGTGGCGGACGTCCTGCCGCAGGGCCACCCGGAGAAGGCGATTGCTTAAGAAGTCTGTCTGTCTGCGTGCGTTGCGTGCGAATTTGTTTGCCCATGTTCTGCGCGTGGTGAGAAGCGCCGGACACGAAAGTGGGGGGTGGGAACCGTCTCTGGTCAGAATGGGATGTTGTTGTTGTTGTCGTTGATAGCTTATACCAATTTTAATACAACGAGGTGCATTGTGCTGCGGCACCATGCAGAGAATACATCGGCCGTGTTGGAAGTGAGGTTGCGTGAGATGAGAGTGAGCGACGTTGACTGAGCCAAGAGTCCAAGACGCCGATGAGACGCCACGGAGCGCCATGAACCACCAGCCAGGGGGGTCGCGCCACGAGGCGCCACAGATGCCATGAGATGCCATGAGATGCCAAGGGCGCCTTGCAGAACGGTCGGTGGCGCTGGGCGTCGCGATCATTCTTGGCGGATCCCACCCTGCTGTTGCATGTTCCGGGACGACGCATCCTGGCTGTCGGGGAGTGACTCAGGCCCACTGGGAGGGCGCATCAGACGCTAGCCACATCCTGATCGAGGAGGTGAGCACCTGAGCAATGAACACTGACGGATCTGTTATTCATGTCACGAGCCAACAGGCTCACCTCAAGTCAGCGTAAACATTAACTAACATTAGAGTACTGTAACTTACATCTCTTTCAGTCCACAACTGCAGTGACTGCACTACCACTCACTCCAAAATGACACTACACGCCCGCCCCGCCACCGAGGCCGACCTGGCCCAAATCGCCGACATCGCCGCCGCCGCCTTCCACCCCGACACGGACGCCATCTCACGACACTTATTCCCGGCACACCTGCAAGATGCGTCCGGCGAGGAAGACCCGGTGAGGAGCTGGCGCCTGGTACGCAAGGGGATCAAGCTGCGCTTGGAAAACACCGTCATGATGGTCGTCGTGGACGATGAGCTGGGCGGCCGGGTGGTCGGCTTCTCGCTGTGGGACACGCCGGCCGGGGGCGACGAGCCGCGCAGCGCCGTGTCGGCCCAGGCGCCGTCGCCGCTGCTCGACCAGGCGGCGTTTGCGGAGCTGCACCACGTGTTGGACGCGGATGTGCGGGAGCACTTTGGCGTGGGCGGCATCAAGGACGTATTTCGTGAGTTTTCCTCTTGCCCGTTAGACGTCGCCGCTATGAGTTTTATTTGATGTATCACGTACGAAGGACTGAATGTAACCCCAGATCTGGATTACATCGCCGTCGACCCGCACCAGCAGCGACGGGGGATTGGAAAGATGCTGCTCGACTGGGGCATGAAAAAGGCAGAGGAGCAGCAGCGGAGCATCTACCTCATCGCCACGCCGGCGGGCCGGCCGCTGTACCAGGCCGCTGGGTTCGAGGAGCTTGCGCTGCTGCAGATTTTTGACACTCCTCATTACTCGATGATTCGGCGACATGGCCAGCAATAGATAGAGAATACAGGTAACCGCATGCATAGGGTTGATGTGAGTTTTCGCAAATGAGGCGTTGCTTTCCGTCTGTGTTGAGCCCATGCTCTCGAAGGCATTCAATTCAAACTAAATTACCACGTTGTGCTCTCATCACATCGCACCTGCTTTCACCGTGCGGTGGCCTACTTGGACCCCAGCTCGGCAGCTTTTTGGATGTGGTCGCGATCCGTGCCCACTGTCAAACGTTGTTATACAATACTCCTCTCCTGTTGAAGGGCAGACGAAATGCTTACGCTCTTGCTCCATCTTGACCGACCGTTTTGGAGGCAGGTCCTCGGCCGGCACGTCCCCGTCAGGCCCGGGCACATGCTTCGCAGAAGTGTCAGACTGCGGCTGCGCATTCATGACGTCGCGCTTCGTCTCGGCGGGTATCGTCTCGGCGGGGAGCGACGGTTTGCTTGTGTTTTCGGCGAAGCCTTCGCTGGCGCCAACTACAAGATGCAGCACCCCGTCAGCGTGATGCGATCTCATGTGAGGGGGCGCGGGATGAGCGTGGAACTCATACTGGGGTTTCCGCGGGCGCTGTTGGTTGCCATGGTTGAGAGCGCGGTAACGCAGTGTTGAGATGTATTGATTGTGTAAGTGAAGCGATGAAATCTGGGGATGAGATGTACTGCACGGAATGGCACCTGAGGTCTGGTACGTGTGGTGAAGCTCAATGAAGAGGCGGCGTCAACGCAGAGGAATGACCATGTATTTGAGACGCAATAGCTCAAGCCTGGCAAATCCTTCATTATGCTCTCTGAATCAATCAATACGTCACACAGCCATCTCATCGGTAGTTGTGACGTAGATCTCGATCATCACGCTTGGCTGGTGTGCGTGCGGTCGGAGGCTGGCGGGCTCCGTGGAGCTGGAGGCGGCAGTCTGTGTGTTACTGACGGTCGCTCGTTACACTAGGCGCCCAATAACACGACTCACTGCACAGCTGGTCGGATGATTGCTAGCACTTAAACCTCTACGGAATCTATGCAAAATTACAGGCAGCTTCGACTGACCTTTACGTTCAACGTCGTCTCTGTCTCGCGGTGCGGGGATCTAGCAAAGGCCAAGTTGGATTATATGGCCATCGAGCGACAGCCAAAGCATCCAATGCGAAGCAATAGCCACATCAGCGGTCAACCGTCAGTCGCAAGGTATAGATGGCGTACGAGCCCCTCCATCGACATCGATTTCACATGCACCCGGGCGGCGGTCTGTCAAATCATGCATGCTCAAACTCTACATGGCCCTTCTACTGACCCCGTGATGCGATTGCGGAGTGCCGTGCTTAGACCTGCGGCACAGCATTATCCTAGCGGAGTCTCTGGAAGAACTCGCTGCTGTATTGGCCCTGTGTCTGGCGGGCCAGTGACAGCCGCGATGCGACGGCGACGAACTGACTTTGGCGTAAGATGCACGTGTTCTTCAATGTTCTCCGGAGACATTTTATGGTAAATATCTCATGGGGCCAAAGATCTGACGTGGGTTCTGGGGAAGCGGGATATTGGACGACGCGGGGTACGGCATTGTATCAGATATACCATTACTGGGTCTCAAGCAAAGACGAGACCCTGCTACTCATGCCTGGAGGGTGAAGATGGTGTGCACCGATGGCTGACCCAGGAACAAGTGATTCGAATCGTGGCATTACTGGCGCTAATAAGTGATAGTATGCAACGGTTGCAAGCCGGCGGCGCTTTCATGGACCATTTTCGTCCCAAACATGGATAGCAGCCCGGAGAAACTAGCTTGCAGCGGGCGTCAAGCCGTAGCAGATGGGATATTCTTGGCTACTTCAAGTCCGTCGTGCTCTGCCGTGGGATGTTCTTTTCCAAACATGCCTTTGCTCTCCGTAACGATGTCTTCCGCGTAGTGCGGTACGATGACGTCGACTGCGCCGTGCGATTAGCTCTGCTTTCACCATGGCAGACAAGAGAATCTTACCCTCGGATTTGTAATTCGTCTCGCGGGCCTTTGCCACAAGCAAGAGCATGATGGGAATGGACAGCAGCTGCAGCGCAAGTGCAAACGCAATCTGGGCTCTGCTCACGCCGTCAGCACCGCGCGGAGTTGTCTTACTGATAGCACTGGGGCACTCACTGGTACGAGACGGCAGCTGCGGCCATGCCAAACTGCACGGCCACCCCAGCCGCCGCGACGCCCTTCCACAGCCCGCCGTATATGGCGAGAACGGTCGGCTCGTTGGTAAAGGTCCCCATCACCCACATGCCAATCTGCTGGTGGGAGCCGTAGACGATGCCAAACACGAGGTAGAGGACAAACGGCCCGGCAAAATCAGATGCCGTCCAGTCCACGCCGCCGACGGGCGGAGATGCCCAGCGGGAGGAGGTGGAAACCCATACAAGCAGCGCAATCCAGGCCGCAAAGACGACGACGCCCAGCACGGAGACGGAGACGTAGCCTCGCATGCGGCGGCCAAAGGGGAGCCTGTCGGTGAGAAACGCGCAGCCCACGGATGCGGGCAGCTGAACGAGGTAGAAAATGACATTGTTCATGGCTCGCGTCCTGAGGTTAAAGTACCGCCCGTTGACGGACGGCAGGATCCCCAGCGCCAGCTCGCAGCTGAAGATGACGGGCAGCATGGCGAGGACGCGGTAGTCGCGCAGGACCCTCGCAACGCCCCTGAGCTCCTCGGTCATGGGCAGGTTGTGAAACACCGCGACCGGGGTGCCATCTGCGCGACGGACGTCTTTGGGGCTGACGAGGCCGAAAATCGTGAACAAAAATGCAACGCATATGAGGATGATGAAGGTGATGTAGACGCTCGTCGGGCTGCCGTCCGCGGTCGACGTCCCCTGGTGTATGATGATGAAGGCGACCAGGGAGCCGACGACGCTGCCGACCTGGTTGATAAAGTACTGGATCGCAATGTACTTGCCCTTTTCGACCTCGGTGGCATACGCCCACTGGATGAAGCCCGACGTCGACCACAGCATCGGCGCGCTGAGCCCGAGGAGGATGCCGCCGAGGATGGGGAACCACTCGTGCGCGGTCCTGTCGTAGTAGAAGAGGCCGGCGACGTAGACGGGGTACCCCGCGACGCCAATGGTCATGGTGAGGCGCGGGCCGAGCTTGTTCATGATGGCGCCGGTGAAGAAGCCAAAGACGGCGTAGATGCCGTAGAGGGAGCTGTTGGAGATGTCGCTGACGCGCTGCGACGAGGGCTTGCCGCCGCCGGCGCCGAGGCCGAGCACGGCGAGGTAGACGCCCACGGTGAAGAAGAGGACGCATCCGCTGATGAGGTTCTGGTTGAAGGTGAGGCGGCGCGAGAAGCGCGACAGCGTCGCTTCGCCAGTGTTGGAGCCCATGGTGAGTGAGTGTGAGCAGCGCGTGTCACGGTCTTGAGTGGTCAATGGGTAACGTCAGATGGCGTCGCTCTCCATGGCAAGGAGAGATGGGAGCGCTCATGGCTGCACACGAGCAGCTCAAGGCGGTGAAATAAGAATGTCTCTGGCATGCATTCTGACTGGCGAGATCAGCTCTCCCCCTCCATGTCCGGGAAGAAGTGATATCCGGAGTCCGGGGCACAGGAACAGCCCTCACGCATCCAGCACAGCCCAGCCACGCCAGAAACTCGTCATTCGCACTGCCCGTCGCATTCCAACAACCAGTGACGCATGTCCTCGCAAACATCGATAGTCGTCGAGGTCACGTCGGATCTCGCCAACGGCGCCTCGGTGGCCGTCTCGTGTGATGGCCGCCACCCCTCGGCCAACCCCAGCTTCCTGCTGCCGGGACTTGGGAGACGAACCCGGCAACGCACCGTCAAGTACACAGTGGGATTTCGACTCTGCAAGGGTCATCCGAGACTCAGAGCCTGCGCCCTGCGCCCCCGCGAGCCGCGCGCGTGGCATCCATGCTGCACCCTCTCTGCCGGGCCATGTGGCGCGTCAGCCATGGCGCCAAGGTTGGCCTGCCACGGCGTGAGGTGAGACTGGATATGAGTGGTTGCTCGCGCAGGTGAGGCGATAAGACACGAGGGTATGCGAGGCGGTTGCTTGTTTCCGGCAGTCCGGTTCGGGGGCGGGACTGGGGGACTGCGGAGGCGGCGGCCGGCCGGGTCTCGGGAGTCGGG